GCGGTCCACCTCCTCCACCGCCTCCTCCCCCGCCAGCGGCTTCCGGTGCGCCACCACCACCGCCTCCCCCAGGAGACTCAGCACCACCTCTTCCACCGGCCGGCGGCGGTGGAAGAGAGGATCTTATGGCAGCTATCCGGGCAAGAGGTGGCGGTGGTCTGCGGAAGGTCAAAGATTCCGAGAAGAGAGATCGAAGTGCGGCTATGATTCCTGGTGCGGCCAACGACACGCCGGCAACATCGGCGCCTGCTGCGGGCGGACCTCAGGGAGGATTGGCTGGCGCTCTTCAGGACGCGCTTGCTAAGCGGAAGCAGAAAGTCAGCGGTAGCGGTATGTATCAATTGTTATCGAGCGTCATTTCCGTGTGCTGACATTTTGATCAGATGACGAAAACGAGGACGACGATGACTGGTGATCGGACGCATGTCCTAAATTTTTTTTTGCCTCTGTTGCATCAGGCAATCTCAAGGCCTTTCGCGTACATTCTATTATGTGCAGGATACCGGCTTGTTATGGCCCAATAAAATTTGATTTCCATTGTATGTAGTCTGGGATTGTTGATCGGGACAGTGGTCTGGACATACGCCTGACATAAGGCCTGGAAGTATTACTGTAGGCTACATACCCTTCTGGCAAGTGTGTATTTTCGGCGTGGAATTGGACGGAATTGAGCATTTTTTTTATCTTCCTACAAGACACCAGTCACGATTTAGACTCGATGTTTATGGTATGATATCTGCAAGCTGAGTGGTCCGTTCATGGTTGTAGATTGATTCCGTCTGCGGAACAATGTTGTTCCGCAAACATTTCTCAGCGACGGCGGACGGGGACGAGATTCATCCAAGCTGGTGAATTCGTGTCAATTCCCGCATCGTGGATCGAGATATCCATCTTCCTTGCTGGGGCGCCTGTACAGGCGAAGCGGAGAGATGCTGGCCTCATCTCCTCTGAAGCCTTCGGCTCCGTCAACGTCCTTGCTCCGCTTCCTGCGAGCCCAGTCCGATTCGGTCTTCTTCTTCACTCCTAACCAGACAACAGCATGCGCGCGCCCCTCCAAGGGTTCTTCATGGCATAATCGCCGTTCTCGCGGCTCCGCGATGCGGAGGTCATCTAGCTGGACGGATCTGACTCCTGCGCCGTGTTTGGCACAGCTTGAAGCGTCACTGTTCTCCATTATTAATCCGACGTCTACAGGGCCAAAAGCATTACGATCCTCCCGTCTCAAATCGAAGACATCTTCTTTAATATCCCCTCTCCTGTCCTTCCGAAATAGCTCCTCCAAAAGTCGCCCTTGGCTCCGAAGACTCTTGGATCTGGGACGATCGAACGAACCCTCCAAATGGAGCACTTCTCCCCAAGTCACATCCTTTACGGATGAGGGAGCGGAAGGGAATCTCTTCAATCTGGGACGGGCTCTGGCAGCCAAGTCGCTGAATGAGCCGCGGCTGCGGTGCACGGAATTTGATGAGAATGGAAATGTTACGCTGGTCAATGGAGAATACCGGAAGAGCGAGTTGATTGCCAAGGTTAGTCAGGTTTTTTTTTTACGCCGGGAAAGTTTCGTTGGCTGAATGGTTTGTCTATCGTTACAGTACGGTCTTCTGCCACGAGATCTGCGAAAGATTGACTCGTCGGTCCTTCCTCACATCCTCGTGCGGCCGAGCGCCATTCTCATCAGTCTCCTACATCTCCGGGTTTTGATCAAAGCCGATCGCGTACTTGTTTTCGATGCGTACGGTTCTACTAATTCCTACACGCAGTCCGTGTTCATGTACGACCTGGAGGGCAAGTTGCGGCAACGACAGGCCCAGGGGGCTGGTGCACTACCATACGAATTCCGAGCTCTCGAAGCGGTGCTGATCAGCGTGACCAGCGGCCTGGAGGGGGAGTTTGAGGGCGTCCGAGAACCAGTCGTGCGGGTCCTCCGAGCGCTCGAGGAAGACATTGACCGGGATAAGCTGCGGCACCTACTGGTTTATTCAAAGAAACTGGGAAGCTTTGAGCAGAAAGCACGGCTTGTGCGAGATGCAATTGACGATCTTCTAGAGGCGGACGATGACCTGGCCGCGATGTATTTGACGGAAAGGGCCAAGGGAATTATTCGGGCTGAAAACGATCATCAAGAGGTTGAGATGCTGCTGGAGTCGTATCACAAGGTGTGCGATGAAATTGTCCAAGCCAGCAGCAACTTGGTGACAGCCATTCGCAACACCGAAGAAGTGTAAGTAACATTCGCCCTCTGCCCTCTGGAGATATACGATTCTGACTTCAACAGGGTCAAAGCGATTCTCGATGCCAATCGCAACTCCTTGATGCTCCTGGATCTGAAATTCAGCATTGGCACCCTTGGCCTTGCAGCGGGGACGCTGGTGTCGGCCCTGTATGGAATGAACCTGAAAAACTTCATCGAAGAGTCTGATCTGGGCTTTGGAGCCGTCTCTGCCGTTTGTGTTTTCTTCACTGCGGCCGTGAGCATGTACGGTCTGATGAAACTGCGCCGGGTGCAGCGCGTGCGGATGTGGGGTGAAGGAGGAATGGCGCCCACCGCTATCGGGCCGTTGCCCAGCCGCAATCTGGCAGTGGGCAATCGAGGCAACTGGCGCTCTGACGCGATCGAACCGATGCTGGCGGGGCTGCCGGGCGAGGGCCGCGTGGAGAGGATGAAACGGTTGAAGGAGGGTGCGCATGCTGCTGCTCATGCTGCGGCGGTGTCGCAAGCGGAAGCGGCTCGTCGGGCGATGGTGCCGAAAGGGATCTCGCAGTCGGCGAAGGGCCCATCGGAAGGCAGACAGGAAGGCAGACCGGACGATGCAGATATCGGCGTGAAAGAGGCTGTCGTTAAGGTGTGAACAGAGGCAGTCGGCCTGCTTCGCATCTCCAACAGGGTGCCTGGCAAAGCACCAGCTGAATAGAATCAACGGAACTAATGCCTTTCTCCTGAGCTCTTTTCTTCTTACTTTTCTCCGGCGTTAAGGGACGGATATGGAGCATGCATAGCGTCTGAGCGAGTCCGGTCTGGCTTTCACTGTTGAATAAACATTGACATCATTGCGATCGGTCTGCCTTTCCCTTATCATCATTCCAGGACGACTAGATGGGGGAGGGCGGTGTTATATGAATTACGTGTATGATATTTAAGCATTAGTATTCGTCCGGATCGGACATGCTCTATATCCATGGTGTATGTATGTATTTATGTATGTAGATGTAGATACCTGATAGAACGTGCTTACTCATATACTCGTACTCTTCGTCTAGAATGCAGTGCATCTTTGATCATTCTTTTCCAATCCACCCGTCAACGGAGTTGTTATTACCGGTTCCGCTCTGAACCCCACCAGAAACACATCCCATTGGCGGTATCAGGCCGGTACCGGGAACAAAAGTGTATGAAGGAGTCGTATACTCGGAGAAACAAGCTGCTTTCGTTGACATTGCACCCGGCGAGTCGGTCGCCTGGCGGCCCGATTGGCCAATCGGAGGGGATGCTTAAGTCCGGGCGCTAGGATTGGAGTTCGCCCGAGTCAGTCACATGTCGAGCATAATCATGAAAAGACTAATTATTGCGTTGCGTCCTGATCTGCAGTATAAAAAAAAGGGTCAGGAACTGGATCGTTGTGAGTAATCGCTTTCTTTCGAGGCGCTGAATGTCCACGCCCCTGGCGTTGTTTCCTGGAATCGACGCTCCCTGGCGTTGTTTCCTGTCGAAACTTTGACCATTGTTGCAAAGGAAGGTCAAGGCAGCCTTCCTCATCCCTATTAATTATACTCTCAGTAATTCGCAAGCGAAATGTCCTGTCCCGCGTGTTTCAGTGGCCACGTCCACGATGGCTCGCTCAAGGGCCAGATCACCAAGCTGCACGGTCTCGATGCCTATGTGTCGGAGCCTGTAGAGGGAAAACCAGTCAAGGGCATTGTCATCATTGTCCCAGATGCCTTTGGCTGGGAGTTTGTCAACAATCGGATTCTGGCTGACCATTATGCCGAGAAAGGCAACTACAAGGTTTACTTGCCTGATTTCATGAAAGGTGTGTAGTCACCGCTCTATTTTCTGGGGCAATCTCGGGAGGAGAAATATAGATATTTTGATAGCACTGGTAACTTCTGGGTCATTGTTCTGACTTGTCAACAGGAAAGGCGACTCCCGTTTGGGCTCTTGAAGTCATTCCAAAGCTCCTGTCGGGGAAGGGCTTGCTGAACTGGCTGTTGAAGCCGTACGTTTTTTTTTTTCTTCTTGCCTGATTTTTAAAAACTAATTCTCTGCAGATACTACTTGTTCCGCACTCTCCAAGCCGTGGTTCCATTCATGATCTCCAACAGCTTCAGCAAATCATGGCCCATCATCGAGTCTTTCTTCACTGCCGTGCGCCAGAACGAGGGATCCAATCTCCCCGTCGGCGCTGCTGGTTTCTGCTGGGGTGGCAAACACGTTGTGAATTTGGCCCACGGATCCCAAACGGCGGACGGCAAACCCCTGATCGATGCCGGCTTCACGGGCCATCCCAGCTTGCTGAAGATCCCCGACGAGATCGAGAAGATCAAGATCCCAGTGTCCTTCGCCCTTGGCGAGAAGGACATGACGTTGAAGATGCCGCAAATCCAGCAGATTCAGAAGGTGGTGGATGCCCAGCCTGAGGACCAGAAGGGGGAGGTGAAGGTCTACAACGGCGCCGGCCATGGGTTTTGCGTCCGAGCAGATCACGTCCTCCAAGATCAGGAGCAGGCTGCAACGGAGGCAGAGGACCAGGCGGTGGATTGGTTCAATCGACATTTTCAGAAACTTCCCTACTAAGAGGTTATCACCTGGAGGCAGTGTGCTTAACGTCCTATCGAGGCTTGTATGATACCCAGAAAACCCGTTGTGACAGAATTTGGCGGTAATGTTTGAGTTGTGTGGCTATCCTGTTCTGTATGTTGGAGATGTATTGTACGTTCATTTACAGGACAATGTTAGCCTTCTCTGTCCGTTATTTTCTCCGTACCTGACCCATATCTATAGTACCGAGTATCTACTAAGAGAGGTCAACAACAGCTGTCACCCATCCAATCAATTTGATTGAACAAGACAGTGTAGGAGATCGGTCATGCTTTTAGTTTAGACCCTCGCTGCCAGTTTTAGGACTTGATTCAATGGGGTAGCTCAGATGCTAAGGATCAAGCACGATTGGAACAAGTGGGGACTGTTCTTGGCCACACAAAGCGCAAATTAAGCCAAACAAACAGGACAGTGTAATTGCCACCAATAGCATCCGATGATGTGCTTATACCCTCTCTATATATGGAAATGCTCCTCCTTTCCCGGAGATTTTAACAAGATATCTAGTAGCCCATCCCTGAAGTCTTTTACAGAGGATTTAATTGCACATATTTTTTTTCTTCTTTCTGACTTGATGAAGACCAGTTACAGAGCAGTGACTAGCATGCCTTCTTTCTTGATATTGAAAAGGCAAAATAAAAAGAAGCAGAAATCTGATAAAATTAGCAAAAGCATGGCATGTATCACGTGATGCGGGGAAAGCTGCCAGCTCCGTTCGCTCAATCGTATCCAACTTGCTTCCATGATGGTCCAGGCCCTTGACCTTTTCTTTTCTTTTTTCTTTTTTTTTTTTGCTTATGGAAATATTCTCAGATTGTAATTTATGCAGTTCACATTGCCGTCTTGTTGAATAGGCTCACATTTGTTTGGCAGCCAGACAGCGGTGTCACTTGCCAATTACCGATAAGACTAACTCCGATCACATCATCGCTTATCAATCGCCATCCAACCTCCTGCATCACTCATCGCCTGCCATATCGTCTGACCTTGTTCCTGTTCTCTTCCCCTCTCTATCTCTCCTATTCTACACCATTCTTGACGTCTATACGTTATCTTCGTCGTTGCTTGCTTCCCTACCGCCATGCGGAGGCCGCCTACGCGGTGCCCCCGCCTCACTGGCGTGGCCCGCCCAACACTCACCGCGTCTCGTCGCATACAGAGGCTATCCATTGTGCTCGTGCAGTCCCGCCGCAGCTTCTCATCATGCTCACAATGCTGTCCTACCTCCTCCCAGTTTCATCGTTCCGACTTTACTAGCCAGCCGTACACAGGCAGCTATGAGTCCGGCGCCCCGACCTCGGGACCTCTGGGTTCCGCGCCAGCCTTCGGAGCCCCGCGGTTGACCCCGAAAGTGCTGAAGCAATACCTCGACCAGTTTGTTGTCGGCCAGGACAGGGCGAAGAAGGTGCTCAGCGTGGCTGTTTACAACCATTACCAGCGTATCCAGGAGCTGAACCGGCGTGAGGAGGAAGCGGCGGAGTTGATGGCTCAGCGAGCGCGGAGAGAGTCGGCCGAGACTTTTCCTTTGGAAGGTACGATTACAATGCCATGGAATTTCACTGTGTGGTTGTGATTGACATTTATAATCTTGCAAGGTGAATTTCCCGGCCAGCAACGAACGATCCAGCTAGGAGCACCCCAAGACCATCCCTCCTCTCGATTCTCCGCAACACCGCTTGTCGATGACTCGCCATTACAACTGGAAAAGTCCAACATCCTATTGCTGGGCCCTTCGGGTGTGGGCAAGACCTTGATGGCGAAGACGCTAGCTCGAGTCTTGGACGTACCGTTCAGCATGTCGGACTGCACACCATTCACCCAGGCGGGATATATTGGCGAAGATGCTGAAGTGTGCGTGCATCGATTGCTCGCCGCTGCCAACTACGATGTCGAGGCGGCGGAGCGTGGAATCATCTGCTTGGACGAGGTGGACAAGATCGCAACCGCCAAGGTCAGCCACGGCAAGGATGTTAGCGGTGAAGGTGTACAACAGGCTCTCCTGAAGATTATCGAGGGGACCACTGTCCAAGTCCAAGCAAAGCCAGAGAGAGGCGCGTCCCGTGCGGGTGGAGGTGGCCCATACTCATCTTCGGCTGGCTCCGGCCCACCGCCGGCGAAGGGCGAGGTATACAATGTTCGAACCGACAATATCCTGTTCATCTTCTCAGGCGCGTTTGTCGGGCTCGACAAACTGATCATGGACCGCATCTCAAAGGGGTCGATCGGATTTGGACAACCCGTTCGGGCGTCCTCGACGTCAACGGACAGCCGCGGTTTCGGGCAGTCTTCTAATAAAGCACCAATTCCTGTTCTGCCTGGATCAGAAGAGGAAGCACTATACAAGAAACACCTCCCGTTTTTCACATCTGCCACCCCGTCTTCTCCTGACGAGGAGCCCATCTATTTCAACCCTCTCGATCTTCTAACGCCTGCCGACCTGCAAGCGTTTGGCTTCATTCCTGAGCTAGTGGGCCGGATTCCTGTTACCACCGCGCTCTCCCCGTTGACACACTCTTTGTTATTGCGCATCCTGACTGAACCGCGCAACTCTTTGGTTGCCCAGTACACGACCCTCTTTTCTCTATCTGGCATTGAGCTCCGCTTCACGACGCCTGCGCTGCACAAAATCGCCGCCAACGCCTTGGCCATGGGAACAGGGGCACGTGGGCTGCGGACCGAGCTGGAGACCATTCTCAGCGACGCCATGTTCGAGACGCCGGGCTCGAGCGTCAAGTTCGTGCTGGTCACGGAGGCGGTGGCGGATCGCAAGGAGAAGCCCATCTACCTGGGCCGGGGTCAGGGAGGCCGGTTCCACTCGATGATCGCGGCGGAAGAAAGCGAATGGGAAGAGAAGATGCAGCGTGAGAGGGCGAAGCAGAAGAAAGGCGGCAGCGTGTCCAGCTTCGAGGAATACCGCAAGAACGCGACGACCGCGATGGGCGGTGGCAATTAGTCAGATTGATTTTGACAAAACTGGGACATAAACACGATAGCAATAGCATGTCACATTGTTAGACCTTGCCTTTGTATGTATGTACATATACCCTTAACTCGTTTCCTTTGTTTCCTTGCTTCTCTGCTATTAGCGTGGCGTGACAATTCCAATTCGAATTTCTTCTCTCTTCATCCTTCATCCTCCTCCTCCTTCTCTTTCCTACCATTGAGTCAAAATCCCGGCCGTGTACGAACGAAATGGGTTTCCTCCTCCGCTCTCTTTTTCATTTTGTATCTAGGATAGGGATATTTCTATACGCGCTGTACTGTACTGTACTGTACTCTACATATTCGATTCTTTCCTTTTATCTATCTATCTTTCTTTCTTTCAGGTCAGTGGGCATGTCTTGTCTTGTCTTATCTTGCGGGGTTCGTTCGCAGGGTTCTTTTGCAGGGTTCTGGTTCTCGTTCTCGTTCCTTATCTGCATCTGGATCTGTAGTCAGTCTTACTTAGGAATTGATTGAATTGAATTGATTGATTGATTGATTCATAAGGTATTGCTTTTCTTCTTCTTTCCTTTTTCTTTTTTTTCTTTTTTATGTCTAATAACGTACCTATGTATGCAGGTATATCCGGATGGATGGATGGATGGATGGATGATAGATATACGTACAAGCAGTTTTATTTGTTTGTTTATTTGTCTATTATCTATTTGTTTGTTTGCATTGCGTGAACTGCTTGATTGATTGACTGACTGACTCTTTCGTTGGCAGTAGCAGTAGTAAAACTGACAGAACCAGCAACTGCAACCTTTTTCCCCCTCCCATCTATCTCGTCAGTATATGCAGGTGGTATTGCATCAATTCCAACAGGTAGACATGACGAAAGAAAAAAAGTAATTACATTCCAGTCCAGTCAGGCCCATACGTATGTATGTACATACAAGGAAGGCATATGACATGACAACAAAAAGGAAATACAGGAGAAAAAGAGGAGGCGGGGGTATTTTCACTTCGTCTATCGTGTATTCACATGCCAATCAAATCAGCCAAATCAATCAATCAACTGTACAGAGAAGAAGAGGGTGGGAGAAAAAGATGAGTTTGATGTGTCGATGAAATGGTACTCGTTGTATTAGGTAGGTAGGTCTACCTTGTTATCAAGTAGGTACCTAACCTATATCCGTGTTTGGAGGTTCGTTGTGGTCCTGTCGTCGTAGTCCTGTCTTATTGGGACTGCCTTTGAGTGAAGAGAGCAGGCCCAATGATCGATCGATCGATGTGTAGATTGATGGAAATAATGTCATATGACCCTCTGGCGTATGGTCATGTTTATGTCGGTTATATGACATCTGTAGGAGATTCTTGCAGCGATGACGGTTGCTTATTATCAGCCCCCTCTGGTCGGGTCGTCGATGAAGACGAGGACGAGGATGATGCCTGAGATAGATACTTCTCCCGATACGTGTCTGGTTTGATGGCCATTCTCTTGTAAAATGCCTGTGGTCCGTGGCACAGATCGATGTGATGCAATTTCTGCCATTGCGGAAGCGGGGCCACGGACGTGATGACCTGAAATCGTCGATATTGTGATACGTTGAGGATCACCCAGTCAGCAAAGAATTTGATCAAACGGTCCGCGTCCCGGTGCTCCTGGGTCAACCCCTCGGGGATCTCAGGGAAGTCCTCCTCTGAACTGGATCCATATCCGGGGATGTTCACAAGCGATATGATCGGATGCTGCAGTGAAGGATTGTAGATACTGTCCAGATCGTGTGGCCGTGTCGGCATGTTTCTGAGCTTGCCCTCGGAGGCGATGTCTGCGATGATATAATGCATCAACATATAACTAGTTGGTTGAGTCGATTGATCAGCCTTGAACGTGATCATCTCAAAGTGAGCAGGATATTGTTCGGCAACTCACCGACAGTCCTCCTTGAACTTCTCCCCTAGCCAGTTCATCACGTTCGGACGAAGCATCAGCTTCCATGTCCTTGGAATTTTCGATCTGACATTTTCACGAAACCACCCCAGAATTATGACAGACGCATCCTTCTCGTGGACCATAAAGTCTTCGGTGAGAAGAATCGTCCCTCCCTGAGGGAAGAGACGCTGGAAGTTCAGCTGATCGCCCTTGAAATCTACCGGCTTCATCAAGGACACATTCCAGAAGGAGATTTGATTTCGGGACGTCAACGATGTCAAAGAGGTGAGGTCCTGGTAGTTGGTAAAGCTATTATGGAACTGTGAGATGTCGTCAGCTTCTTTTTGGTCTGCATCTACACGACAGGCAAAGCAAGTGGCAGAGATTACGTACCAGCGCGGCTCCGATTTCAGTCTTCGCAAACTTTTCCCAACCCATGTCTCCCTCACGATTCGACAAGACGACGGCTAGATGCTTTTCAAGAAAAAGTTTCAAGAGCAAATATTCATTATGAGCTTCATCGGGAAACATCAAGAAGAACATATTTGCTCTTTTGTGCCCGCGGACGAGAGCCAGCTCGTCAAACGTGATCTGAAAATTTTCTTTGAAAAAGACATCGAGATCTGGCAGACTAGCATCGTTCGAGACGTCGGTCATCTCTACGTCGCCAGAAGGGCCGTTTGGAAGGTCACTGA